CACTCAGTGGGAAGGCCACCCTCCCACTGCTCCTACTCCAGCCCATGGAGTCACTGCTGACCCTCTCACCACTCCACTTCCCTCCCTCTGACAACCACTGCCCTCGGCTGAGTCACTGTCACTCTCCCCTGGGGAACTGCTAGACCTCCTGCTCTGTCTTCTGGTCAAATCTGCCTCCCAGGAGACTTTCCCTGAAACCAGAAGGATCTCCCTAAAATGTCACTGGGATCTTGTCATTGCTCTGCCCCAAGTCCTGCCAATGCTTCCCATGTCACTCCAGCTCAATGCCAAGTCCTTACACTGGTCATTGAGGCCATCTGCAGGCAGGGCCCTGTCATCTCTGTGCCCCCGCTCCCACCACTTCCCCTTCATTCACACTGCGTCAGTCACCTGTCTCCGTGTGGTCTGCAGCGCACGCCTGGCTTGTTTCAGTCTCATGGCTTTCATCCTGGCTTTTTCACCTGGTTAGAGGGCTCTTTCCCCCCAAATCTATTTTCCTTATAATTCACTGTCTGGGGATCTTCACTCTGAATCTTCTAATTAGATTATTTTTTTTCTTCTAATTAAGTTATAACTTGTCCTTCCTTTCTACATTTCTCACCACGCTCTACTCTTCCTGTAGTAGTCTATGACTTCCTAACATATTATACAACTATTTATTAGGTCTTTATTTTTTTTCTCCATGAAAATTAGCTCTAAGGACAAGGATTTCTGTCTGTCTTTTTACTAATGTATCCCAAGGACATGAATCATTGCCCAAAATGTACAGAAAAGTTTGTTGAATGAGTAAGACATGGAGAGGCTATGTATCTGGTCCCAAGTACCTCAAGAACCCCTGTAAGAAAGAAATCTGGATAATGAAAAATGCTTTCCTCTTATAAAGAAGCAAACTGCAGCCCCATGCATTCCTTGCTTGGGCAGCTACTGTGGAGAGCCGGGCTAAGCACCAGCACCTCCAGCTTCCTAGAGAAACCCCATGCAGCAGTGGGTGTCTATTCCCATTCACCTCTTCAGGAGCAAGGCTGGGTCACCACCAACTGTGTCACCCACAGAGACACTGTGCGCGTCTTAGACACTGTCTCCTGTCCCTGAGTTTGGGGGAAACAGTGCTGAGCTACTAGAAGTACTTTCCTTGCCTTCCTTGAGAAGCCATATGAAGCCACAGGTCTGTGTCATATTTAAACAAAAATACTCTTTATGTTTAAAGATGAGTACTGGGAAGCTGTAACTCGCAGGAGAGATGTAAAGTTGTGTGAAACGAGTCCTCTGTAAGTAGACTTGCTGAGTAGGGCTAAGTCCAGCCAAATATACATACATAGTTGTATGTATGTATATACAGCATTGGAATGGCTGCAGTTGTAATTCTCTGGAGAAACAAGCCTGATGCTTTCTTGTAGTAGAACACCAGGACTTAACTGAGAACCAAGAGGATGGGCCTGCAGCTGTATTGCAATAGGATGGCAGCACAGGGCTCAGGGCCTTTTGTCCCCCTACTTGACTGGGCCAACCAGTGCAGGATCTCTCTTCCAGCTCCAGAGCTAGCCTGATGCCTGAGGCTTTAGACTCTAGACATTCCCCTGCCCATGGCCACCAATCCCTAACCCTACCCAGGTCCCACCTGTAGTCTCCCCTGGTCCTTCTATCATCACAACCTCTGTGCCTGTCTACCTGGGGCTCTTAGAAAAAGGAAGAGATAGAAGACAGGTTGTTCAGAGCTTCATGAATGAACAGGGTGAAGCATTTTATTACCACAGGTTTCTTTTTACTGTGGAGAAGCCGAGAGGATTCCAAACACCACCGCCGGAAAGGGAAAGGAGAGGACAGGGGAGGCTGTGCCTCCTGAACATTTATCACCTGTGCCCAGGCCACTTCCCAGAGTCTGACTGCACATACCACCACTTAGATTTACAGCTCAATCTTTCAAAATTGGACAGTTTGCCTCAGGGAAAAGTGTCAGCTGGACAGAATGCTTGAGGGTGAAAGAAAGGATGTTTATAGTCTGTATCAGTGATTAACTTGCCAATGCTGTCTTTTTTGGTTGCAAAAATAAAGTCAACCTAAAAGTATAAAAGGAAAAAATCCCAATCCTGGTGACTGTGTTTTCCTGTTGGAATGATTTATCCACAAGGAGGGAAAGTCTGGCACATGGTGTGGTAGCCCACATGGATACTTGACAGTGACCGCCTTGGCAAGGTGCCTGTGTATCGTGTGAACCTGAGTTAGGTAGTGCAGGGCACCACGATCTCCAAGTTTCCCTCACATGCCACGGGCTTGTTAGTCACTTCTTAGTTTCATGACTGGTGTCCTTCACTGCCCTTACTTCCACCCGCTGGACTGCCACAGAGTGCAGTATCCTTTCCTCCGCCCTCCTTCTCTCCAGGCATGAATACCAAATGACTCTACTGTACCAAATGGGTGCTATACCCCCCCCCTTTCCCTTCAAGACTAAACTCGCCCCTGAATTGAAGGCTCTCTAAATCAAAATTGTACAGGACACATCCACTTAGATTTTGTTAGTAGCCTCAACAAATTTAACATTCTCCAAACTAAACCTCACCTCTGCCAGGGATTCAGCTCAGTGGCATAAGCACCTGCCTTGCAAGGCCACGGTTGTGAGTTTGATCCCCAGTACAAAAAAAAGAAACCAACCAAGTCTTCTCTCTCCCTCTTGGTAAACAGCAGCTCCATCCTGCCTAAAGCCCTTGATTCATCTTTTACTTTCACAAGGCGTCACATCTGATCACTCAGCAAGTCTCATTGGACATAGGTTCAAATTGTATCCAGAATTCAATCATCTGAGTCTCACCACCTCTTGCTGCCACCTTTCACAACCAAAGCCACCATAGTAGTTTCCTAGATTACCACTGACTGGTTTCCCTGCTTCTATGAATGTCCCTCCGGAAAACAACTCTCCACTGCAGTGGTTCTTACCAGTAGCCAGGACTGGCAGCACCAGTGTCACCATGGAAGGCACTGGAAACAGAACCTTCTCCTGTGCCATTGACCTGGTCAGAGGGTTACAGTGACATGGAGAATGGTGGGTGCAGAGGACAGAGCACAGGGACTCAGGGTGGAAAGCGGGGGCTGTCATCTTAAATACAGTGGCTGGAGAAGCCCTGGTATGACTTATATTTGGATGTCTCCCCAGAGCCTCATGGATGCACAGGTCGGGTTTTAGAGGTCACCAGATCATGGGTTGAAGTACTGAGTTAGTTCACTGATGAGTTTACAGCTGGATATGAAAAATAAAACTCAGTCAGGAGCTCAGGGGTAGAGTTTGGATGATGTGTGTTGTAATAAACCCTCCCAGGTGATGCCAATGATCAAGGTTTAAGATCACTGCTTCTTGGAGTAGCCAGAATGATTCTAAATAAAGTAAATTGGCCAGGCATGATGGTACACACTCATAAGTAATTACAGGACTCTCAGAGGCTGAGCCAGGAGGATCATGCATTCAAGCCTGGCTTGTGCAATTTTGGGAGTTAGCAAGGTCCTATCTCAAAATAAAAAAACTACTTCTGGGTTGGAGATTTAGATCAGCGGCATAAGTACCTGCCTTGCAAGCAGGCGGTCATGATTTCCATCCCTGGTATGGGAAAAAAGGAAAAAAAAAAAAAAAAACTACTTCCCCCTGCTCCCAAAAGTGGGTTGAGAATGTGGCTCAGTGCAGAGACCTTGGATTCAAAAAAAGCAAAGGCTTTGGGTTCAATATTTAGAACCACTGAAATGAAAAGGTAAATTAGGTAATGTGGCTTTTTCTACCCTCAAAATCTTCCTCCAGTGGCTTTGTGACTGCATAGTATGACATCAGGTGTCTTCTCTCTCCTTCTGCCACATCTGTAACCTCCTTCCTCTCAGTTCAACCTTCACTGGCTATGTTCCTTTCCCTCTGCTTTTCCTCAGGGCCTTTGTATCAGCTGTGCCTGCAAAACCTTGGCCTCTCGCTCTTTCCAGTAAGTGTAGATCTGTCCCCTTCTCCCCTGCTCTCTAGTCAATACCAGCTTGTTAGAAGAGGCTTGTCTTGGTTACTTTCTCATTGCTGGGACGATCTGATACCCACAAGCTCAAGGAGGAAAGGCTGGTAGAGGTTTCAGTCCACAGGGGGATAGCTCCAAGGAAGGGCAGCATGGCAGTGGGGCATGGCAGAGGAGAAATAGCTCATGCCAGGGCTTCAGGGAAAAAGAGTGTAGGGACGAGAGAGTAGAAGGAATACATATCCACCCTGAATATCCACCCAGACTCATTGGTGGACTAATCCAGTACCACACTCATGATCTAGCACCCTCCCAGAACCCCACCTGTGTCTACATGAGGCTGTTACAGCCTATATACAGATGTCCCCCCAAAGCCTTGTGCGGTGATAGGTGGGACTTTTTCAGAGATGGCTGGATCTAGAGGGATAATGGAATTAATTCATGATGCAATGTTAGGATCAAGGGCATTAGAATTAAGTGTGAGAGTGCTACCTGTCCTAGGTGGCCTAGATAAAATAAAAGGGGCAGAAAGATGCTATGAAGGCCCTCCCTTGTTTGCTTTGCTATCTTTTGGCCACCGTGAACTATCTTTCCTCTTCGATGCCTCTCTACTACACCACCCCAACTTGAAGCCAGCTGATTATGGATGGAAACCTCTACAAACTGTAAGCTAAATAAATCCTCCACTTTGGGTGTCTCAGTAACAAGAAATGTAACCAAGACACTGGGTTTTTCCCAGACACTGTATTTAAAATAACAGCCCCCACTTTCCACCCTGAGTCCCTGTGCATTGTTCTCCACACTCATGTTTCTCCCTGTCCCCATCACTCTCTGGAGTAGCCTGTGCTGTGTGCATATGTACTTATCAGTCACTCTGTTGCTCATGATTATAGGCATGGCAAGGCATACATTTGTGCCTATTGTATTTACTTCTACTTTGCTGGACCCTAAACAATGGTGGCTCTGATAAGGGCCCTATAAACACTGGTTGAATAAATGAATGTCCAGTAAGTGATGGCCAAGGTATGCCTCTGGGGGAGATGATGCATTTATTCCAATGACGCAGCCATTGCTCAAAATATTTGTAGGGCATAGTGAGACCAGGAAAGCCAGAGTCATTTACAACAATCCAGGAAAAAGAAAGTGATGGCTTTGATTGGAACAGGGGTCAGCAAGGGAGAGTGAGAAGTGATTGGATTCTGGATATGGTTTGGAAATAGATCCAATGAGTCAAGGTCAGTTTACAAGTTATTTGTAGAATCAAGCCTTAGTGCTTAAGACAGATCATTCCTTTCCAAGAAGTAAGATAAAGCATTTATTACACACATTATTCTCTAGCTCCACAATCACATCACATCAGCTGTTGCAGAAATCAAATTTTCTCTTGAAAAATGAAACTCAGAATCTCTGAAGATACTCATAGGCTCTGAAGGCAATTCTTTACGTGATAAAAGAATAATGCTTGTTTTTATTGAGCACATTTTTATATCCAAGTGACTTAATTCTTCCAGCAGTTCTCTGAGATGTGTTATTAATCCCATTTTTCAGATGAAGGAAATGAAACTCGGAGAGGTAAACAAATTTCCTTAAGAGCCGCCAGCTGCTGAGGGGGAAGATTTAAACACAGTCTGATTCACGAATTTTCCTCATGAGCAAGAGGTGTTAGGAACACCCATTTCCACACTCCCTAAGAGGAGAGGACTCATCTGAAGAATTTCAGCCATGTCTTATTTTTATCTTTCTCCTCCTTCATTCTTATATCTCATCAGCACGACTTCCGGGGAGAGTCCAGGCTCATGGTGACTGAAGGAAGAGCTGGCGTCTGGGCCAGGTCTGTTTCCCTGGCTCATGGCAGCTGTTCAGGGGCCAAGGTCCTGGGCGAGGTGGGGCCCTGGCTCCTCCAGACACTGCTGCTGTGTGGGGCAGCAGAGTACAGCAGGAGAAAGCATTGCCATTGCCATTGCCATTGCCATGGGGACCAAGCTTCCCGGCCTGAGTAGCCAGCATTGTCTCCTGCACAAGGACCGATTGTTTGATTGAAATAGAGAATGCTTCTCACTGGCGATTTTGGCTTACACAAAGATTCACATTTCAACAATGGCTCCTTTTGTAATGCGTGTTTTTTTTTCAAGCTTCTGTGACTCTTTTTCAGACTTTCAATAACTGTAATTCCTGCCATGGAAGAATTAAAGAATTTCGGTATGTGATCCTGTGTGTTGGGCTCTAGTGGAATAAACATCTCATAACATACCAATATTAAGGCTCTGTGTTGTCCTGAGCAGACTCTGGGATTCTCGAGGCAGCCAGGTGCAGAGGGCCAGACAGTCCTGGGATGGGAGAGAAAGATTGGTGGGTGGGAACCAGCATTGCCAGAGAGCTCCAATGATACTGTAGACATCTTATTTCATTTGACTCTCAAAATCCCCCAAGCAGTTGTTATCCATGTTTTACAAATGAGAGATGTAACTAGGTAACTGGAGCAAGACCATAAAGCTGGGGAGAATGAAATTTGGGATTTGTTCCCAAGTCTCATTCCAAACGGGCTCTCTCTCCAGTTCCTATTGCACACTTCCTTGCTGACCTCCCAACTTCAGTTTTCTCGAATGATCCACCTGGCTGGAGGTAGGTATGCCATGGTACCTCCATGGTATATGCATGTGTCTAAGAGAGCACAGGATAGGTGTTGATAAAATCAAATTGTCTTCCCTCCTCTTTGCATCCATTTCATTTCCTCACTTGATTTTTCTTTTGTTCTTCTCTCTTGTATTCTTTCAACTCTTGCTTTCTTTTCCTTCCCTTACGCTTTCCTCTGTAGTGAGAATAAAACCTAAAAGTCTTATTCTCAGTGGCAACATAGATTTTTTAAAAATTTCCAAGAAGTAAATCAACAATAACTGGTCCATGTGAACAGAATTCTAAGGTTTTATTGAAGATATAAAAGGAGATCTGGACAGATAGAAAGCTATCCATGTGGCTGAAAGAAGGACAGTGTTCTAAAGATGCCAACTTTCCAAATTAATTCATGCATTCATTGCTGTCTTATTAAAACCATACCATGAGATTCACAGACCATGAAAACTGATTTTAGAGTTCATATCAGGGCAGGGGATATAATTCAGCGACAAGAGCCTGCCTGGAAAGCACAAGGTTGTGAGTTTGATTCCCAGTGCAAAAAACAAAAAAACAGAGTTCATATGAAAGAGGAATGCCTTAGGACAAGTAATAAAACTACAAAAAAAAAGAAACAACAGCAGGGCTGGGGATTTAGCTCAGCAGCATAAGCACCTGCCTTCAAGCAGGCAGTTGTGAGTTTGATCCCTGGGGGGGGGGGGAGGGGGGCAACAGCAACAAAGGACCTGATTTTCCAGTTATGTAAATATACTATTTATACTGATTTGAACAATATTATATTGGTTTAGAAAAAATGAACAAAAGAAACTAAAAAGGAACAAAGTTATGTACAGAGAGATACTTAGGAAAGGTAACATCTCAATATGAAAATTGTAGACTGCCCAAAAATTATAAAAATTGTTGTTGTTCCTGAAAAACATGCATTTAGATCCCTACATCACATCATGTGTACAAAATTCAATTGACTTAAATTGTGAACATTAAATTTTTAAAAACCCAAGTCAGAAAGGAGCTAGAGTAAAATATAGCATGTCAGTTTTTATAATTATAGAGCAAGATGAAGGGTCTCCTAAAATAAATATATACAAATTCTAGGAGATACTAGTAAAAGGCCGACAGATCACATTTCAAGCAAATTAAAAGATCTTGCTATGGATATGACTTGAATTTTCCCTCCAAAACTTCATGTGCTGGAAAGTTGGTCCCCAGAGCAGCAACGTTCAGAAGTGGTAGTACTTACTGTTAAGAGGCTGAGCTCACAGGTCATTTGTGCATGCTCCCCACCCCAAGGGGTGTGGGGCCTCTACTCTCTGGCTTTCTGTCCAGACAGAAAGTCTTCCTGTCTTGCATATGTTTCTGCCATGAAGCAAGCTACCATCAGGCCTTCGGCAGAGCCCAAACCTATGGGTTTGCCAGCCATGGACTTTCAGCCTCCAAAACTGTGAGCTACATAAACCTCTTTCTTCATAGATAAACTGTCATAGGTATTTTGTTATGATGACTCAAAACTAATATAGATCACACACACAATCCCCAAAAAGGTTTTGTGAAAGTCTATATAATATATATAAAACTGAGTGTAATACACAATATATATTAAAGGGTCCTAAAACTATTATGTAAGACAGAATACAAAACTGGGCAAAAGACATGATGATACAATTAACAAATTTTAATAAAATATAAAAAGACCATTAATCTGAAAAGTAAAGGAAGTGAAAATAAACAAGATATTGTATATAACCAACCACGTTGGGAGAAAGAAGGACAGGAAAGGAAAACAGAAAGAATTAAGATGGTTATATACACGTGCCAGCTCCCCATGAGGAACGTGACCATCGTATGCTGCAAAATGTGCAAATAAAAACTTTGAAAAATTAAAATTCAATAGATGACCAGAGGTGCAGTTGGTGGTAGAACATTCATCTAGCAGGCACAAGACCTGATGTTCAATTCCAAGCACTAAAACGCTTTTTATCAGCTTGGTAGTAGGATTATCAGGTAGAAATGACAGACAATTCCATATACAGTTTCTAAGAAGACTATAAAAGTGTTCCAAGTTTTTTTTTTAAAAAGCAAGAAATCAAGCACTATGGATAAGGAACGCTTGAGTATTTTCTCTTCTTGTATTTGTTTTTGTAAAGCTGCACGTGGAGCCTGGTGCCTGCTAAGCAGTAGCTGTAACATGAAGTCCTTCACCAGGTTGGGCTGGGCTTTGCCTCCTACGTGTCTCCGATTTGTGTTACTTAAGGCGAGTACATGTTGCTGTGTAAACAGTGATAAGAGAAATCATACTTAATGTGATTCGGGTAACCATGGCAGTGCTGTTACAACTGGCACCTGTCCAGTGAGTTTCCCTGGAGCCCAAGACCATGCCTTCCAGGGCAGGGTAGTTGGTGGCACTGAACCAGGGGTTGAGGTCAAACAGAACAGCACTGAATCAAGGCCAATCTACCACAAAGAGGGAAGGACGGCATCATGGCTGCTCTTCTCTCCCAGTTTAATGTGCTAGCTGTCTACAAGATACTCAAGATTCAGCCTCAGAAAGAATTACTGACTTGATTTCCCCGTCAGCGGTGAGCTTCAGTGGAAGTCCTTTGGGCAGCAGGAACCAACAACGAGGCACCGTTTGCTATTTCTTGGCCAACTCCCTTCTGCCCAAGGAGAAACCGCACCAGGCTTCTGTATCTCCAAAGTCTTCATGCTTGTTTATCTGGAACATCAAGAGGAAAAAAGAAAAAAGAAAACTTAAAAATCTTAAACTTCTGAGACATCACATATGATATGACATCATAAGATATGACACACAAGTGGAAAAGTTCACACGATGTGAAATACGGCTTCACACACAAAATTACTTAACATATTTTATAAAATTACTTCTAGCCTATTTTCATCAGAAATGTCTGAAACATAAACGAACTAATTGTTTATATTTGAGTCCTATCTGTGAGATACCTCATTCTGTATTTGCAAATATTCTGAGATCCATAGCATCTGAATTCTAAAACACTTCTAGACCTATGTGTTTTAGATAAAAAATGTTCAATCTCTCTAAATGTACATATATGCATGAAAAGTATGTATCAGATTTGCACTCCAAATCATTTCTGGAAAATTATTTTTGAAAAATTAAGATGTTATTATTTAGAACACAATTATTCTATGTATTTCTTTATATGTGTATTCACATGATTTTGTTCCTTTTTTTGCACTATTTTGAAAAAGCTTTTCCAGTTAATTTTTGTCTTCTAATTGTTTATATTTTCAGATTTTGTCAAATGACCATATTAATTTGCCTAAGGCTAGTCTGATAGTTGAACACCAAAAGCAGAGTGAACTTGGGTATGGAAATCAAGAGATCTTGAGTTTACCATTCTAGGTCACTCATCTATGTGACCGTGGCATCTAAACTAGTTTAGAGTGGCCTCTAAACTATTTTACAGATGCATGAGTTTCTTTAGCTATAAGTTAAGTGGATGAGGTGACAAGATTTCAATCTTTCCATCAATAAGGATCAAAAACTTCAATTATTGGAGTGTGGAACAATTTGCAGACGAAGCATAGAAACAACAACGTCAAAACATTCATAACTACATTTAATAAGTGTTTACTGTGTGCCAAAACCTAAGCTATATTTTTTAATGTATTATCTTGTTTGATCCTTGTTACAATCCTTTGAGCTAAAGATAGTTTCCTCTATTACACTACATAGATGAAGAAAACAAGGCTCAGAGAGAATAGAACTTTCCCCAGGTTCCTCAACTAAAGTCTGGAGTTTGGATTGGAATTCAGGTCTAATTCTGAAGACTGTACTTTTAATGCAAGAATTAAGGTGGTGCATGATTTTTTTATGGGCTACATTTCCATTATAGCATTATTACTGTTAGCTAGAGGTGGGAAAAACCAGAAAGCAGACAACATGCAGCTACTGAGTCTCTTTAGTTTCAGGAAATGAGTGGAACCAAAGGTCTGTTCCACTGCTTGGAAAGTTCAGTTGTGGTGGGCCAAGAGATTTCTACACTAGGCTGGAAATTTATGGCTGTGAGGGCAGTCTGAAAATTTTTACCAAGATGAGAAGCGATTTGAGCAGTGGAAGACAAATGAATCTCCCCGTAGAGCATTAGAAAAGACACTTCCAGGTCAGGTTCCCAGGGCGCCTGGATGTCAGCAAATTCACTTATTGTGTGACTGAGAAGTAGAATTGTTTTCCAGAGCTAATGCTACTAAAGCTTTCTGTGGTATTGCACTGAGATACATTTAAAAAAATAAAAAAAACCCAAAGGCAATTAGAAACAACCAAAACATTTGGAAATGAAGCTTTAATTCCTAAATTTCCTAAGCTCTTCATCAACAAAAATCAGTACTTTTTTAGTCATGAATATGATGCACAGAAAATTCAAAAAGCAATCGATTCTAAAATGCTTCCCGGAGTGCTCAGGATATTCAGGACTGAGCCATTTTCACTTGTCTTATTTCACTACATTTATTTGCAAGTGTTCCTGTGCACAGCCTCTTGAATAGCACTGCTCTCCAGGTTTTGACAGATGAATGGGAATGTAATGCTTTACACTCAAGGCAGACCCTTAGAATGTCAAAGAATAAAATTCACAATGAACTATTTACATAAGAGCCTCCAGCAAATGACAGCAGGCTTCTCTTATTTGGCTTAGGTATATAAGATGCTTGAAAACTTTTAAAATCACATTCGAGCAGGTCGGTCTTAAGTTTTGTTAACATACCATCATCCTCAGCCTCCAAGAAGCTCTATGGGGACACAGAAATCAAAATTAAAAATTAGGTTTCACTCCAAAAAACACTGACTTTTTCTAATGGCACTTAATTTTGCTCAGTGCCAAACCCAATACCTTTAAGCCTGTGAATTAGAGCATTTTATCTTTCAGTCAAATATCCCCTCCCTGCTGGGGCATTAATCATTCATGACTTTTGGCTCTGTACGCTGTCAAACATTATACTTAGTGATAACCATTGGGTAGACTAAGTTTTACTGAAGGTGCAAATGTGAAGAGATCTGGATGTTAATAGGTATGAGCGCGCGCGCGCGTGTGTGTGTGTGTGTGTGTGTGTGTGTGTGTGTGTGTGTGTGTTAGAAGGAGCTACAATAAATGTTAGTTATCTTGAAGAATTGGAAATAAAAGAAACTGAGTCACCACTTCTTTGTAATTCCCACAAATGTTTCCACAGGCTCAGTGCTCCACAAATGGAGAGAGTTACAGAGTGAGATGAGACTGCAAAAGAGAAAAAGTCGTATTGAAGGTTTGAAGTTGCATTTAACAGAAGCTTAATATTTAGACAAAGTACAAGAATGTCAGAACTGGAGCACACGTTAGTGGCAACTTGATACATTTAAGAAATTATTTTGGCTGCCATTTACTCAGGGTAGCTATACTCAGATGACATACTCAGATGATAGCTGAGTCCCTTCCACTGTTCGATGAATCGGACTTGACTACATATTGAATATATACACCAGGAAAATGAACTCAAGTGCTCTAGAGCTGTTGGACCTACGAGAAAATGTAGAGACTGAGTATTTAAAAACTCCCACTTTGCAAATGAGAAACAGAAGCCAGAAAACTTGCCCACGGTGACACATTAAGTTGATGAATGTATCCTGTGAATCTCAACTTTCTGACCTTTGGTCCAGTGGCTTTTCATGGTTTACCTTGGGAGAAAGTCATTACACTTTCTTGGTTTTTGGTTTTGTTGTTCCAAGAGAGGGTCTCACCATGTAGCTCACACAGGATTTCATCTCTTGGCAACGCTTCTGCCTCAGTCTCCCAAGTGCTGGGATGACAAATTTCCTCAGTATAAAATCTAATTTTTTCTCCTTGTGTCCTGAGATTTATTTTTAAACGCATCTTCCAAAATCTTATTCCCATTTACCTCCCATCCATTCCCATAAGAGTGTACAACCTAACTGATTATACCTGCAATGCTCCAAAACTTGTTTTCATATGTTGATATTAGGTTGTCTTTGTAGAGAATAAAATTTTAAATGGTTATATAAAAGTCGATTTTTCCATTAAAGGGAAAATAACATTTTAGTGTTAATTTTTTATAAAGGTTACTTCTTTCAATCATCTGTGTGTTTTGCTGAAAATTACTTAGTTGTCTGCTGTTGTGGCAGAATGAATAGATGAAATCCTCAAGAGGATGCAAATCCTCCTTATAAACAGATTCCAGCCTCCCGTTTGTTATGCTAATGATTCAAGCAGCAAATGTGAAAATTTTGAGCTTGACTTTCCAGCATCTGCTAATGTTCATCCAAAAAGATGAACAACAAAAACATCAAGTTCAAAGAATATTGCATTAAAAGTTGAACTATCTATGCTTTCTTGCCACTGTGTATCTTTTTTTTTTTTTTTTTTTTTTTTTTTTTTGTCTTTTTCATTTTTATCGGTACCGGGGATCGAACTCACGACCGCCTGCTTGCAAGGCAGGTGCTTATGCCGCTGAGCTAAACCCCCAGCCCACCACTGTGTATCTTGAATGAATCAACGTCTCTGAGCTCTGATAACATAATCTGTAAAATGAAAATGATTAAGCCTACTCTGCTGACCACACTCCTTTACAGAACCCACTGATAGCTTCCCATAACAGTGTTAGTAGTCAGAACAGTGTTATGGAAGTGGCCTAACGTGTCCTTAGTGAACTCATTTCCTGTGTGCTCCCTCTGACGGTTACTTAAGCATCCCAAGCACATTTCTAGTTCCTCCATTTCAGAGCATTTCCTGCCTGCTGCCCTTGCCCTCAGTATCATTCCTCTGTCCTTCTCCTTTGTACTGCTGCTTCATTCTCTGGGTTTGTGCCAGAATGGTTTTGGAGGAGCGTTCCTCGCTATTCCTTTAAATATAGTCTCTTCTCGCTAATGTGATTGCACTGCTTTTTAAGCCACATATGAATATTTAGTTCTTCATATGTTTGTCACTACTGTCATTGTATATGTAAAAATATATAGTTATTTTTCTATTATTATTTATCACTTCTCCAACAAGACTATAAAATCCTTGCGGGTAGGAACCATATCTACATTATACACTGCTGTATTCCTGACCTCAGGGTGCACAGCACAATACTGTTTCCAATTCAAAAAGGGAGATATTCTTGAAAACAGAGTAAGAAAACAAAATTATGGGCCAATATGCCTCATGCATATAGATGGAAAAAGACAACATTAGAAATGTGCCCAGGCACCAAAAATGTGATTGTAATTTGTAACCAAGTGGAGTTCATCCCAGAAAGGAAAGGTTTTTTAGCATCTGAAAATCAGTTAATGTAATGTACTATATTAATGGGATGGCAGATAAAAATCGTATTATCACCTTTGACCGGTGCAGCTCCCCAATGAGACAGTAAACACTTCAGGTGGGTAACAGGAACTGCCAACTTTATTGTTGTGGGTTCTGGCTTATATATCTGACTGTAGCCAATCAGGCTGCCACGAGGGCTGCCACGAGAAGGAAGGGCTGGAATGAGACACGGGCTCTGGCTAATATACTCAGCTGTGGTGAATATGAAGTGAGTACAGGGTGACTAATTTGGAGAGGGACGTAGCGCATTGCGGAAGCTGGCGTGGTCCTTAGTCCCGGGTGGGGTATGGTATGTTGAGCACCTGCGCCCAACAACCTTGATGCAGGAAAAGCAAACTCTCAACAAACTTCCTTGATCTACTAAGGAGCATCTCTGAAAAAATAGTAATTAATACTACACAGAATATGGAAGACTGAATGCTTTCCCTCTATTATGAGCAAAACAAAGATGTCATTCTGATCATTTACATTCAACATTGTATTGGAGGAGTCTAGCCAATAACAGAAAAATATTAATAAAGACAAATAGATTGGAAAGGAAGAAGTAAGTTTTACTTGCAAGTTAAAAAATAAAACAAACCTACTACAATTTACGATGTAAGTTTAAAAGGCCATAAGACGCATGGTCAATATACAAAAATCAATTTTTAGACTTTATTTTTAATGGACACATACATCCATAAAAATAACATATATTAATGGGGTACCATATGTCAATGCATGATACATTGTGTGATGCTTAAATCAGGTTGAATATACATCCATAAAAATAATATATATTAATGGGGTACCATATGTCAATGCATGATACATTGTGTGATGCTTAAATCAGGTTGAATATATCAAACTCTTCAGTAAACACTTCATTACGGAGAAAATGTCCAAAATCCTTTGCTTTAACTTTGTGAAATATACATTATCTACAGTCTTAATGTGCAACAGCACACCAGAACTTTCTGCTCCTAGCAGTAAATTAGTACTCATCGTCAATCCTTCCTACTGTTCTCTAACTCACTCCCCCAGGCCCCGGGCTCACCGTAGCCACCATCACACTCTCGACTTCTTGGAGCTCAACTTTTTTAGATTGCACATTTGTCTCTCTGAGCCTGGCTTATTGCACTCGCCATAAAAACTTCACGTTCTAGCCATCTTGTCGCTCCTGGCAGAATGCCTTTGTCCTTCAGGGCAGAAGGCTCGCCCGCCGTGTAGACAGGTCCATCAGACCCTCCTCAGCTCGTCACTGCTGGACACTTGCTCCCATTATAGGGCTGCAAGGAACTCGGCGTGCAGGCATCTGGCGCTACCTCCCCTGGACACACAGCCTGCAGTGAGACTGCTGAATCCCCACGCGGTGCTTCTGACTTTATTTTCAGGAAATTTCGCACAGCTGCAGGAGTTTGCACTCCCACCAACGGTGGGTAAAGCTTTCTCTACCTCCTGCCGGCACCAATTATCTGTACTGTTTTTGATACCATTCGCACAGGGGTGTGGGGATACCACACTGTGGTGATTTCATTTCGATCAGTTAGCAACAATCAAAAAAATAAAATTGAGGAAACGATCTCGGACTCCGAAGGTGAAACAGCGGACCCGCCCCCCCCCCCCCCCCCCCCGCCGGCACCGCCGGCTGCGGGGTTCCGGGGCTGAGTCTGCGGCTGCGCCCACACCCGCGAAGCTGACAGGCCTGCGCGCCAGAGGCGCCGAGGCTGTGGAGACGACGGCGTCGCCAACGTCTTGCGTCACGCGCCTGCGTCCTGCGTATGCTCGCGGCGGTCCCGCCGGCCCCTCCCTCTCCGCTTTGGCGGCCTCTATCTTTTGTCGGCTGCTTCTGCGATCAGTCAATGCGAGGGTGGCTGAGAGACATTCGGGGAAATGGTTGATACCTTTAATCATTTAATTCCCACTGAACACTTAGATGGCGCCCTGTTTCTGGGCTCCGACCTCGAGAATGAAGTCTGTGAGGGTTTTAGTGCAAGTCAAAGCATCTTGAATCACTCACAGAAGAACATGCTCAGCGATAAGAGCCCATGCTGGAGTCTGCAAAGGAGGTTCTTTTTGTCTATTTTGGATAGCAGTGATCCCAGTCTCCAGATGTCTTGTTCAACGGGCTAATGTTGCGGAGCGCTCTTTAAGTGAACTTCTACTTGGATGGAGACGAGGGTTAGGTAACTTCTTGAGGTTCCTTCTGACCCCTGGATGGATGTTTGTGCAGTGCGCTAAGTAGCGTGAGTCATCAGACTTCCTCTCGCTTGATTCTCAAGGTCTTGATGTTGTGGATGAAGGAGTTGTTAAAGGGGAAACGATACCATGCGTTAAGAGTTGGTTTACCTAGAGCCGGGCGTGGTGGCTCATGCCTGTAATCCCAGCACTCAGGAGGTTGAGGAAAGAGATTGTTGCGTGTTCCAGACCAGCCTGGACTACAAAGTGAGCTCAAGGCCAGCCTGAACTGCATAGCGAGACCCTGTCTCAAAAAGACCAAAAAAAAAAAAAAAAAAAAAAAAAAGAGTTGGTTTACCTAACAAATTTGAGGGACACAGTAAAAAAAAACACTCAGATCACCAAGAAAATCACCTTGTTTAAGCATCGAACGCTGCACTGTTAAATAGCTACACACATCTGGGAAAACTGCATCCACATCCAAGGCATGGGTGAAACTACCAGAAAGCTGTCAAGTTAAAGAAGTTTGCATATCACTGTAACCTGAGTGCCAGAAGGAGCAGCCGGCCTACTAGACAAATTGAAGTGATAACCACAGGTATCAGTGACTTCAAGTCATTCTTCAGTGTTGTCTTGCCTTAAAATGAAGGCTGATGCTGGGTTGGATTCCAGCCTAAGTGTAATAATCAGAGAGAAGCCAGTATGCCGTCTCTTGAATTAAATTGCCCACTTCTTTCAGAGACTTGTGTTCCTATTGAAGAAAAGAAAAATGAAGCTCTGATGGAATGTAAAATTAAGACTTAGTAGCTGATTTTTAAGTTTTCAGATAAGAAGAAAAACAAACTAATTCCTTTTTAGGTAAAATAGATGAAACTACTGAACTAAAGATGGCAAAGGAAAAATCTGAGCAAGAATCAAAGGAGATGATAAAATTATCCCATAAAAATGACCAATTTTTTGAGGAACGTAAGTCTGCTGATATTTCTGGTGATGTTGCTTGTGTAAGTGCCGATGGCACAGATAAATCTTGTAGATTTATCTAGTTCAGTGTATGAAGTGACCGAATGTAATTTGCAATTGAATACCATGGATATTGATAAAGCTGAGAAGTCCTTTCAAAGAAATAAAATGGAGCCATTGGATTATTGTGAAGACACAAAATCTAGTGACACAGCTAAAGAGCACCAAGTTTAGAAAATCAAAATTAGTGATGGTTGATACTCATGCTTTTGAACCAAAAGATAGTATTTTAGAAAATGTCCTTTGTGATATATCCGACCAAAATTCAAAACTGTTTGAATATTGTTCAAAGTATTAAAGTGGGGTCTCAGGAGACAATAAACCTTCAGAATGACACAGTCAGCCAGTCTGCTATTGTTTCTTATGTAGAGTAAAGAAACATAAAATCCAAACATATACAATCTGTAACCTGTTTTAAGCAAAACATGACCAAAGATACTCAAAGGCAAATTGTTGCAGCAAAGTGTGCAATAGTGATATTGAGGAATGAAATGCCCAGTCTGCTAGATGTCCCAGTAGGAGTTCATATTCTCTAAAATTGAAGAATGAATTTTAGGAACAACAGAGGTTAAGAGCAGAATATATTTATTGAGAGAAAGAAATCTTCTGTTAGAGACAGAAGGGGTTCTAAGGGTTGCCAAGAACTCCATACTTTTTAGGAACTTTTATAGAGCAAAATCATGAGGTGAGACAGGTCCAAGGTGAGGAAAACATGTGAACTTGCAAGATGAGCACAAAGATGTGGGGAATAAAGATTTCACCCCTCTTACATTGTTGGGAATGTAAACAAGTAAATCAGTATGGAAATCTTTGTGGACATTCCTTATAGAGCCAAAAAGAGAAATGCCATGACCCAGTTATACATCTTACGGATATATTCCAGAAAGAATTGAAAACATAAGTGATACATGAATACCCATGTGTTTATAGCAGTGAAAGTCATCATAGCTAAACTTTGGAAACAGCCTAAGAATCTGTCAACAGATGAATAGATAAGAGAAATTGTGATATTCATCACAGTGGAATAATTTTCAGTTATAGAGTAGAATGAAGTTATCTCATCTTCAGGAAAATGGGTGGAACTTGAGGCCATGATGCCAAGAGAAATAAACCAAACTCAGAAAGTTAACTATGTATGTGAAACCTACAGTATAAATAAATTAATTATTTAAAGGAGAGATGATAGGAAACTAAATATAGGTTCTTAAGACATGGGGATGGGAATGGGGGGAAAGAAGGATGAGGAGTAAAGGAGTTGAAAATAATCAAGATGTATGGACTAATTCCCCAAAACATCACTACAGTTCTATAGTATAAACATGCTCTAATAAAAAAGACATCTAAGAAAGTAAAGTGCAAGTAATGTCTTTTTTTGCTACTGGAGCAAGTTATAGCTAAAGAGTCAGAGTCTTATAACCCAGTTTTGTTTTCTGTAATGTTAAGAAGTGGGACCTTCAAGAGGAGAGGAAGTCATAAGATTCTCCCTTGTGAATGGATTAATACTGCTATCTTGGGAATGGGTTGCTTATCACCAGAGTTGATCAGTATAAAAGCAAGCATGGAGCTGGGCATGGTGGTGCATGCCTGTAATCCCAGAACTTGGGAGGCTGAAGCAGGAGGATGGTTGTAAGTTCTAGACCACCCTGAGCTACAAAGTGAGCCCAAGGCCAGCCTGAACTGCATAGAGAGACCCTGTCTCAAAAAAACAAAACAAACCCAAAAAACAAAAAGCAAGCATGGCTCTCTTTGCTCTCTCACTCATTCTCTCTTGTCCTTCTGCCTTCTGACCTGGAATGACGCAATTCAATGGGCCTTGCTAGTGGCTGGCACCATGTCCTTGAACTGCCAGCTTCCAGCATTATGTCAAAATCACTCAGGTTCAGATATTCTGTTACACAGCAACAGAAAATAGACAAGGCACCACTGTTCTGCTACTGCCTGGAGTGCGCTCTCATTCCATTTTGTAGACTGGAGACTACTCCAGGAATCACAAAAGCCGACTAAATAAATCTGTAACTAAATTTGTGGTAATACTGTCTTTTGATATCCCCAAGCAAAGATTTAGGAGCAAAATTCCTGTCTCCAGAAAGGGAACTGCACAGAGCCAACCAGGGCTGCTGTAAAAATAGGGAAATAATTGGGGAGCCAGAACTGACTTTGAAATATATATTAGAACAGGAACAGTACGTGGAGAAGGGCTACAGTCAAAGCAATGTGGCCAGGAGTAGAGCACTGTATCCTGAGTCTGGTACCTGAAAGACAATATCCAAAACCAGCGCCAGTTTCAGAGTGTACACGTAGGTGTGCTTATTACCACTTGATCTTCTTTGTCTATGAAGTCAAATGAACCCTTACTTTATCTCCTCTTGACTTAGAACTTAGCTGACAGACAAAATAAGACAAAGTTTTCATATCCCCTCAAATCTTATGTTTCATTAACATAAGCTCCATTTACCAAACTCAACTGCTTTCTCAGTTGGAACAGAAATAATAGCGCGACTCCACGGAGTTCTTAGGCTACATTCTCTCCAATAAATCTCACTCGTATCTGGCTTCTGATGGCTGCCCCCGTCTCCCACAAGGTCCTTTCTCCACCATGCCCCGCATCCCATGCTCAGGGATGCTCTATTCTCAGCGTCAATGCTATGGATCTTAAAGTTTCCAGGAGGTGAGAGGTGCTAGGCTGTGCTGTGGGAATGGATGACCTTCCAAGTCACAGAGCAATAGGTGCAAAGGCTTGCTCCTCACTTCACTCCTGCTCATCATGGGTCACCACCGCTCTGCTCCTGCTCTTTTCCTCCTGGGACAAAGGCTAATAGATCAGCCTTGAACCAGAACAGTACCAGTCTCATGGGTGAGAAAAAGGAGAAATGGCAGACCACGAATTGGATGTAAAAGCAACTGTGGAAATGACACATGCCACTTCTGCTTACACCTCATGAGCCTGGGGACATCAACAGTACAAGGAAGTGTCACTCTCTCCAGGATACTAGTGTTCAGAAGTAACAGCTCAGTGACAGGACGTTTGCTGCCACCAGGGCACCTGTGGTCTTGCATCGGGGCACGCGAGCCAATCAGGCTGTTCCTCTTCTCTGTGAGAATATATGTGCATTGCATGGCAGCCAGAAGCTCGCAGTCCTTGGCTAGGATAGAGCTGCTGACTGCTGTACTGGGCCAGGCTGGCTTTCTAGTGTTTCTCTTTTTTCCACTCCTGCACAGAGCTGTTCTGTCAAACTGTTAAGAAACACAGCTGCCTCCTTCTCCTCCCATCCTGTTAGCAGCTGGGTCAGAGACCTTCCTGAACTTTCTGTTTGGCCCAAGGCCTCTTCCTGAAAAATCATTTCTGACTGGTTGACCTCTCATCTTAGCTAGCCATTTCATAGTATGCTGCCAGAAAATTCAAT